CACGAAAGTAATACTTGATGGAGCAGAGTGCGATTCAATTTTCCAATTGCATTCTCATGGCCACAACAAAGGTTTTTTTTACTATGAGTCAGCATTCCCTAGGTGCTGATCAGAATTATGCCCATATTTTCAACCCCATAAATATTGAGTCATCAAAAAAAAATGTTTCCCTCTCTTGATGGCGTGCGCTGTTCATGCCATGTACCATGTTTACCATTTGGCGATCCGTGTCTACCCAGGCCCCGGGAGAAGCCAACCACCATTTCTCACTTCAGGCAAGTATCATTGTGTCATAATGAATAGGTAATATTAAATCGGGCTGATGAGTCATATTACAGTAATGCAATATTTCCCTTGCTGAATCCCTAAGGTCTCCACAAGGGAATGTTTTCTAATAATAGGAAGAAGAATTCTGAGAGATGGGCCTTGCAGCACTGGGGCTGTGCAGACTAGTTTTGTGAGCCTTGGCTGAGCAGCTCAACTTGTCTCTGCTTCCGTGGAGTCAGCATTAAAATAAGATCCTATATTTGCAAGCTTGAAGGCACATAGTAGGACCAATTGCACACAGTAGGACCAGCTGTCTTGTAGTGTCTATGGGGGGGGGGCGTGGGAGGGATGCCAAGACCTTTCCTCCCCTGCAAATGACAAAACCCACATTGAATCAAGACTCCCATGTAAAGTGGCATAATATCTGTCCGTCACCTGTGCACAGGTGCTATTCTATATGCTAACGTACTGTAGAGGCCTGTTACTCCCACACACTTTAAGTCACCTCTAGGTTACCTGCAAGAGTCATTACAAATGTAGTGTCTTGTTATGTGTTTTGTTTTATGCCCATGCTGGGGCTTGAACTCAGGGCCTGGGTGCTGTCACTTAGCTGTTTTGCTCAAGGCTAGTACTCTACTTGCTTGAGCCACAGCCCTACTTCTGACTTTTTGCTGGAGATAAGAGTCTCTGATAGAGCGCTTGCCTTGCATGCCTGAGGCCCTGTGTTCGATTCCTCAGCACCACATAAGAAAAAAGCCGGAAGTGGCGCTGTGGCTCAAGTGGTAGAGTGCTAGGCTTGAGCTGAAGAGCTGAGGGACAGCGCCCAGGCCCAGAGTTCAGGCTCCATGACCGGACCAAAAAAAAAAGAAGAGTCTGGTGGACTTACTTGCCTGTCAGGAATGGCTCTGAACTCTAAATAATGGCGGGGACAGGGTGGCGTATACCACAGTGCCTGGCTAGAATTGGAAAGAGGAAGAAATTGGGGCTCAGATGAAGTGATAGGTCATTCAGGGTCACCATCATTGCGGGGGGGGGCGTGGGAAGGGGGTGGCATCAAGACTTAGAGACAGATCCTCCAGATTTCAAAGACAGCGTTTTGTTGTTTGTTGTTGTTGTTTTGAAAGCCATGCTGTTCTGAGAAGCTCGATGTCATGGATCTTGGAAACTGCCAACATGTGGGAAAAAAGTATGAAGTTAGCTGGGTGCTATTGCACTCCTCTTCTTTTCAATCAACCATAATGACAGTGATGAAAGCATCTCGCACTGTCCCCTGCTGCTCTGGCTCTGTGTGCTCGGCCTGCGTCCCTTCCAGTCCTTGGCATTCCCAGCAGAGCTGAGGCGCTGGGCCAGGCTGGGGAGCTAGGCCAGGAGGAGGCTCTTAATCATGCCACACAGATGGTTGCCTCCGCCAGTTATTGAACTTGAAGTATTCTATCGTCCTTAACTAATGCAAACAGACAGGGTTCTGGCCCCTAAGGCAGCTGGCTTTGCTTTGTTCCTTAGTCTTGCAGAGTTCTATGACTCTCACAGCTTTAGACACTGAATTTATTCCCTTCTCCCACCCCCTTTTCTTTCGGAATGATAAGACAACAGCTGCTCAGGAGAGCTGATTTGAACATGCTAAAGGAAACGATCTCTTGAGCTGGGCTGCTGGTGGCTCACGCCTGTCATCCTAGCTACTCAGGAGGCTGAGATCTGAGGATCACGGTTCAGAGCCAGCCCGGGCAGGAAAGTCCGTGAGACTCTTATCTTCAATAAACCACCAGAAAACCAGAAGTAGTGCTGTGGCTCAAGTGGTAGAGCCCTAGTCTTGAGCTGAAGATCTGAGGGCCCAGACCCAGAGTTCAAGTCCCACGACCAACCCAAAAGAATCAAACTAAAAGCTGAAGGACTGGGTGTGGCTCAAGTGGTTGGTGGCTTGCCTGGCAAGTTCAAGGCCTTGAGTTAAAACTCTCATACTGCAAAGTGAAAATTGCTGACCTTTTTCTCTGATTCTAAAAGGAATACATACTAGTGGGTAGGCACATTGGAGAATCCAGGAAATCACTAATTCTCATGACAACTGTAAGAGGTCACTATCAGTATTTTGCTGATGTTTGGAGACTCGTATTGGTGTGTAATGCCCGGGGTTTGAAAATATAAATGCTATTGTACCCAGATTACGTGCAATTAAAAAAATCATGCATAATTTGTGGATTATGGGTCTTTTGTGTGTGTGTGGTGTCAGTTGTGGGCCAGTCTGGCCTGGGCGCTGTCCCTCAGCTCTTCAGCTCAAGGTGAGTGCTCTACCACTTGAGCCACAGCGCCACTTCTGGTTTTCTGGTAGTTAATTGGAGATAAGAGTCTCATGGACTTTCCTGTTCAGGCTGGCTTTGAACTGCGGTCCTCAGGTCTCAGCCTCCTGAGTAGCTAGGATTACAGGTGTGAGCCACTGGCACCTGGCTATGGGTCATTTTTATTTGTGGAAAAGTTAATAAAAGTTATTTTCTTTTATTTGTATTATAGTTGGGCTGACTTTGGACTAGGATTCTCAGATCTCAGCCTCCTCAGTAGCTAGGATTAATGATAGGCATGAGCTATTCATGCCCCGAGGGAAGTTTTTCGAATATAGAGAATAAATAGTAAAAGTAGCACAACAAAGATCCCTGACCCCATATTTCTTGGTTTATCCTTTTATGGGGGTAATAGTCTTATCTTTTTTGGTGCCACGGAGTATTCTGCTATATACAATCAGCAGTTATTTCTCCAAAGCAGGTACACCTATGGATGATCAGCAGACAGACGTAATGAAACCTAATCAATCATTTATCATTAGGGAAATCCCAACGAATAACCACAAAGAAATACTGCTTCATACCAAAGAGAAAGAAGAGCAAATGAAAAATATCTCTTAGTGATCTTATGGAGAAATTGCTTGTCTCCTATGTTGCTGAGGGAATCTAATCTTCAGCTGCTGTGGAAGCAAGTTTGGCCATTTCTCAAAAACAAAAAAAATAAAGTTAAACTGGGAATCACCAGGTAATCTAGCAATTCTCCTCCTAGGTATGAGTTTCAAACAGTCAAATAAATACTAGCATGGAAGTGTTTATGGGAATATGATTCACAATAGCCAAAAGGTAGAAATCACTCAAATTATCCACCAGTGGCTGAATGGATAGACAAAATCTGGCTCTGTCATACAATGGAATATTAATCAGTCCTGAAACAAAGAACCACTAATGTTACAACATCTGGGAAACCTCAACAAGAGTATGATAAAGTGATAGAAGCTAGGCCCCAAGGGCCCTGCGCTGTGACCTCATTCCTATGAAATCTCCAGAATAGGAAATGTGTGCGGGGAAACACAGCCTTTATGGTTGCCAACGGCTGGCTATGGAGTCACAAATAAAGATAAGTAATAATGTGGGTTACTTGAGCCCAGAAGTTTGAAGCCAGCCTAAGCAATATAGCTGGATTCTGTCTCAAACAGAAAACCAAAACCCCAAACCAAACAACTTATTAATGTTAATATATAGTACCCTTATTGTTATCTAGTCCTAAATGTTTTAGGATTTTGTATGGCATTTCCTTGTTCTCCCCTGAGCTATATAGAAGTTCATTATTGATAATAACTTAAAAAAATTTTTTTGGTCAGTAGTGGGGCTTGAACTCAGGGCTTGGGCGCCATCCCTGAGCCTTTGTGCTCATGGCTAGTGCTTTGCCACTATAAGCCACAGCTCCACATCCGGTTTTCTAGTGGTTAATTGGAGATTAACCTGCCCAGACTGGCTTCGAACTGCAATCCTCCGATCAATGCTCAGTTTCCTGAGTAGCTAGGATCACAGGCATTAGCCACCAGCACCTGGCCCACTTTATATTGTTAATGCTTCCATCTTTTGTCAGTAGGATTAATCACCAGGTTCCTAGAAAGTAGAGACCCATGTCTGAAACAGTTTTGTTGTCCCAGTGTTGAAAATCAATCTCTCTCTCCCTCCTTCCCCCTCAGTCTCCCTCTCATCTCTTTCTCCCTCCATCTCAGGGAGATGCAAATGCAGAGTCAATGAAGGTGTGTGTGTGTGTGTGTGTGTGTGTGTGTGTGTGTGTGTAATTTCATATTCAAATCACACCCATGAGCAGACTACAGGAATCCCCACAAAGCTCAACAGAACACAGATCAAGGGTCACACTTAGCTTGCCCACACTTTTATAAAGAGGGATCCATCGCGGAGAGAGGTGGGGGGAGAAGATAGAGGTGGGGAGGGAAGGGAGGGAGAGCGCTTACCAGGCCCACCAGGCCCACCAGTCCCACCAAAACCCTACCAGCCTGCTGACAGCTCACAAGCCCCCCCCTCCAGCCCAGTCCCACCCCCACCCCTCCAATGCCAAGCTCCGCTTTCAGCTTCAGTTCGGGCGGCCGAAGCCCTGATCTCACTTCTTTGCCTGGTTTTATTTTACTTGTGTTTGTTGTTGTTCTGAGAGTTGAGCATCTGCCCTCGCTTTCTCCTTCCCCAGCCCCCAGAGTCTCCCCAGCTCCGCTACTGCGCATGCGCCCTGCATCCCTCTCCTCCCCCCGCTCCCCCCCACCTTGGGTACCAGTCGGAGGAAGAGATGGAGCGGCGGCGCCGTCACGAGCGCCCAGCCCCTTAAAACGCTGCTGGCTGGACCCGCTTCTCTCTCTCTGCAGCCCGAGGCAGGGATGGAGTAGAGGGGGGAGGGGAGGGGGAACCCCTCGACCTGCAAGGTGGGCTTCAGCCATGGAGTTAAAGCAATCTTTATCCACCCATCTGGAAGCTGAGAAACCTTTGAGGCGCTATGGGGCGGTGGAGGAGACGGCGTGGAGAGCGGAGGGCATCGGGAGATGTGAGTGGTGGGGAGAGGAGGGGGGGATCCAGGCGGGGAGGGGTGGTGGGCCCCCCGATCCCGCGGGACACCGCCCTCCCAGGCTGGCTGGCGGTGCCCGGGTGCGCAGGGATGCCACAGCCCGCTCTCCCTGCGAACAAAGCGGCAGCCTGGGCTGGGCTTTGCCCAGAAACCGCCGGGCAGCTCAGCCTGGCCCAGGGCTGGACTTCCTGAGCCCCAGATCTCCCCTGCACGGAAGGAGTGGGGTCCTCTTCCTCTTGCTAGGGATGTTTGCGGGGGGCGGGGGGGTGGAGAAGGAGGGGTGGAGAAGGGGGGAGTGTCCACGGAGGGGGCAGGGGGAGAGGGGAGGAGGAGGTCAGTCCTGAAGACACCCCCCCTCCACCTTTCCTTCCTCCTGGAGTTAATTTCTGCCTCTAAAACAGATCTGCTGTGTGTATCCTTCTCTTAATGGTGCTTTTTTTTTGGGGGGGGTGCACAGCATTCCCAAATAAAGGATTTTTGTTTCTAATGAATAGGACACAATAGCTGAAACTCAGCTAAAGGGGAGAGGCAGCACCCCCAAGGGCCCAGGGATACCAGCTGCCCCTGCCAACCTCCCACACCTCCCCTGCTCCGGTGTGCCCCTTCCCCCTGACTGGCAGGGTGAGAAAGACCCTCTCCCTTGCCTGGGACCCCATGGCTCCCTGGAATGACCCTGGGTGACCTGGCTCAGTGCTGTTCGCTAATACTAAGGGTTCTGTTGGGGAAAGTCTTGGAAATGTATTCCTTTTCCAGTCTCTACCTGGAAGAAAATGTGTGTGTGTGTGTGTGTGTGTGTGTGTGTGTGTGTGTGTGTGTGTGTGTGTGTGCATGCTTGCTTTCTCTATCTCTGGTACCATGAATTCAGAATATCTTCTTGGACTGGCTGAACTGTATTCAAGTTGAAAATCACACTCCAATGCGTTTGTTTCTCTCCCCTGCTGTGAGGGATGCCATAATGCTGTCAATCTTTTTCCTTCTTTTCTTTTCTATCCTTTTCTTTTTTTTAACGTTTTTATTTTTGGTCAGTCATGGGGCCTGAACTCTGGGCCTGGGCACTGTCCCTCAGCTCTTCAGCGCAAGGCGAGCGCTCTACCACTTGAGCCACAGCAACACTTCCTTTTTCCTTCCCAAACTCTTTGGCGTTGGTGCTTTGGCATAACCCTAGGGCTGATGCTCTCTGTGGCTCACAGGCTCAAAATTAAAACAAGGATGACCACCTTGTACAGCTGGGTTAACACCCCCTGCAAAGAACCTTTAATGTAGCATCCCCTTGAGCTCCCCAAAGCAGCTCATGTGGAATTCTCACTCCTCTGGGCCTGTCTGAAGAAACTAGACCTATTAGGAGACTCGACTGTTATGGAGCAGAGCCAGGATTTGGGGCCAGGTTAGTGAGAGTCCCCGAAGCTGACCATTCGCTTTACAAGTATGCAATCTTCTGGAACAGTGCTGGGCTTTGCAGAGAAAAAGCTAGGCAGCCTGAAGACCCAAGAACACCAGGAAACCCTGGTTTGAGGCCTCACTCTCCTCCACGTGAACCATGTGGTGTTAGATGTGTTTCTAAGTGTCCCTCTGTCCCCTGTTTTCTGTAAGTAGAGATAATAAACCATGTCTACCTTCTGGATATATTGGGAACAGAAAAAAAGAAGACTGTGTATGGAGAGCTCAAAATAAGTGCCTGATATATATTATTAACATTCTGTGTGCATGTGTAAATTATTACATAGATTACAGAATACATATAGTATTTACTGTAGAAGAACTTTCTTTGATCCTTCCCAAAGAATCACAGAGAGCCATCTCCAGAACTGGAACTGCTGTGTTGGACAGTCCCTAAATAAACACATCTAGAGCTTTCTGGTTTCTCACCATTTTATTAGGGAAAAAAATCAGAGCTAAAGAAAAACTGCAGCCAGCACCCAGTTGTTATCAGTAGCCCCTGAGGATTTTGTACTTCCGATTCCTAGGCTACAAACTGTTAAAATTCAGGGAGAAGGACTCTGTGTGTGTGTGTGTGTGTGTGTGTGTGTGTGTGTGTGTTGGTCCTGGGGCTTGAATTCAGGGCCTAGGCACTGTTCCTTAGCTTTTCTCACTGAAGGTTGGCGTTCTGTCACTTAAGCTGGTTAATTGGAGATAAGAGTCTCACAGCCTTTCCTGTCTAGGCTGGCTTCAAACCAAAATCCTTAGATCTCAGCCTCCTGAGTAGCTTGGATTACAGATGTGAACCACTGGGCACCAGGCTTGGAGGAAAGCTTTTCACTCTTCCTCTTCCAAACCTTCAATGATTCTGAAGCTTATTTCCCAGGCCAATATAAGATCACAGAGTTTAATTTGCCTTACACCACTCCCCAATCTATTCCCCTCTTTTCTGCATTCAATTTTTAGATCTCTTCAAATCACAAGACCAAGCCCCCCACTTTTGAACCATACATCTGGCAAGTTTTGGTCTCTAAACTCTTCTCACCTCTGCAAGCATTTTTTTTTTGTTTTACTAAAATAGCTTTATAGGAGCACACAACTCACCGAGGATCCATTCCACAAATCTGAGCCTCCATTTATTTATTAACGAAGTGTGAAAATTAATACGATCAACTCAAGGGCATAACAGTTACTGAACCAATGCACCAGTGCAGGAAACGCTGGAGAATAGAAATCACCCGTGAAAAAGAAGACATATTGTTAACTCTTTTAGGCAGGACATCAAATACGTATAAATTAAAAAGAATAGAGCTGGGCACTGGTGACTCACACCTGTAAACCCTAGCTACTCAGGAGGCTGAGATCTATAGATCTCAGTTCAAAGCCAGCACAAACCCCACACCTCTCCCCCCAAAAAAAACAAAGTCTGTGAAACTGTTATCTCCAATTAACCAGCAAAAAGCTAGAAGTGATGGGTGGCTCAGTGGTAGAGACCAGCTTCAAGCAAAAACAAACAAAAAAAAGCATGGTAAGCACCCAGGCCCTGAGTTCAAGCTCTAGTACTAGTACACACACACACACACACACACACACACACACACACACACACACGGAGAGATTGTGTAACATGAGTTGTTAATGAGTTGTTAATGTTGCATCAGATACTATCCTGCCTGTCAACTACTACTTTTAGAGAAGAGCTAATGTGATGCGCTACAGCACCGCTTGAACTCTGAAGTGTGGGGAGGGGAGTTTGCAGCTCCAGTCTTTGGAGCATCCATATGTGGACATGGCACTTGTACCCGCTCCCTCAGGCCCCATGCTTGTCCTAAGAAGTCTTGAGTGAGAGACCCCCAGCAGTATTTGCAGAGATCCTTCCAAGGTTGCCAGCCACAGATTCCCATTGCTGCCATTTACCTGTAAGTTTGGGGTACTGACTGTGTACACACCCCACCTGTTTTGCGGGGAATGCGTGGGGAAAGGCTTTTCGTCACCATTGGCTTCTTGGTTTTCTTGTTGCAATGCTGGGGAAATGGAACCAGGGTCTCGGGAGTGCCTCTAGGACCTTTTTTGTATTTGAAACAGATTCTAGGCCATTGTGCTTAGCCCTGTTGGCAGTGCTTTGGGACAGCAGTGAGATTGTTTTGTGTTATTGTTGTTGTTTTTTTTTAATCTTGTATTGGTTTTTTTTTTGTTGTTCTTAAAACTCAGTTGGAAAAAATGCACAGTGACATCTCAGTGTGGTGAGGTATAGCAAAATACTGCTTGCAACCAACTGTAATGAATTGAAGGAGACATGAAGACAAGGTGGCTTTTGGGAAAACCGCCGGGCTTCTGAGAAGCGGGATTGTGGGGGTGCTGCGGTCATTTCTTGGCAAATCTGAATGTCCCTTAAAGGAAGATGGTCGGGACAGGTGTCTGTGCTAGCCAGGTCAGAACGCCAAGAGGCAAGAACATCAAGCTAGAAGTAAATGGGCTGGGAAGAGAAGGCGCAGGCAGCAAGCTTTCCCCAGGCCCAAGGGAGATGACTGTTATTTAAAAGTCTAAGGATGTGTTCAGACTAGCAAACAGATCATTAAATGCGCCGGTGTCTCCTGCTTATAAACAAGGCAGAGCCAGAAATAATATGGATTGTTTGACAATCTGTGTATCCCAAACCTTCTTAGTGAAAGGTTTGTATTTGCTTTCATCTGTGCAATTTGAGATTGCTTTTACTATTTTACTTTTAGTAGTAGTATTCTGTGTGTGTGTGTGCGTGTGCGTGTGTGTGCATGTGTGTGCTACTACTAGGGAACTGAGGGCTTGTGTGCTGCCCTTTAGCTTTTCATTCAAGGCTGGCACTCTACCACTTGAGCCACAGCTCCACTTCTAGCTTTTTTACTTGTTTGGTCAGTCATGGGACTGGAACTTGGGGCCTGGGCCCTAAGCTCTTTTTCTCAAGGTTAGTGCTCTACCACTTTGAGCCATACCACCACTTCCATTTTTTTGCTGGTTAATTGGAGATCAGTCTCACTGACTTTTCTGCCTGGGCTGGCTTCAAACTGGCTGACTTCAAACAGATTGGGAGGACCAGGGTTCCAGGAAAAGTAAAGCATTCTATCAAAAATAACGAGTGAGCCGGGCGCCAGTGGCTCACACCTGTCATCCTAGCTACACAGGAGGCTGAGATCTGAGGATCACGGTTCAAAGCCAGCCCAGGCAGCAAAGTCTGTGAGACTCTTATCTCCAATGAACCACTAGAAAACCAGAAGTGGTGCTGTGGCTCAAGAGATAGAGCACTCGCCTTGAGCTGAAGAGCGCAAGGACATCACCCAGGCCCAGAGTTCAAGCTTCACAACTGACCAAAACACACAAGCAAACAAAAATAACAAGTGAAAATCAGGGATGGAGGCATGGCTCAAGTGGTAGAGCACCAGCCTAGCAAGGACAGGCCAGGAATTCAGATACCAATAGGGCCAAAATATTGTGTGTGTGTGTGTGTGTGTGTGTATGTGTGTGTGTGCTGGCACGCGTGAGTGTGTACATGACAATCTCGGTCAGGTATCATGAGGCATATCTATAAT